AAATGAGCTTTAAAACCTTCCTTCTCGATCCAATGACCAAAGCCTCGGCCAAGGAATATTGAGAGCTGGTTCCTTGCTTGAAAATGGGTGTTAAACAGCTTCCTCAAGTTGCTATTTCAACTCCTAATCGTTGATACGAAAACAGCCCCTAGAACGGGTGTTTTCCGGCTAACTCGATTCCTAGTTTTCCAATATTTGCATCTAGGTTAGTATCTAACCTTTACATCAATAAAATAACTTAATAGGAATGTTTTATACACTTGGAGTAGTGTATAATAGTCCCACCAATCGTTCATATCATTTGGAAAATGAATGGAAAGGTTTTGGGATTAAAAACTCACTTAGAAGAGTAAATCCGTCCCTGCGAGGTCGCGTTCTGCTCGGACGATTTGGAAGCCTTCCTCTACTCCGATTGATGCAAACCAGACCTTCACGGATTCCTCGTCTTGAGAGCTTTCTTTTGGTATCTCACACGCCTTAATTGGATTGGTAAAACTCGAGATATCAACCAAACAGTCTCAGCACTCTCACAGCTCGAGTTCACAGACCACTGCTCGCTTCAGATGGATGACTACTCTCTCCTCTCGAACAGAGACCACTCAATTATGAAAATAGACTTCAAAGGCTATCCAAGGACACCTTATACACCTCATTTGGACGAGTACAACTCTCAAAATGAAGGGAGACAAAACAGCACACCTGTTTGTGCGAAAACAGTGGTGGTGGCCCCAAAATTTGATTCCAATTGTGTCATGGGCAGTGCTTCTCCATGTGGTGCGGCCAAGGTGAGTCTTCTCACATATTTTCCTTGTCTTGCAGGTACTAATATCATGTGGAGTGGTTCCCCATTGATCCCAATTAATTTGGGATCCAAAATATCTATCAATACACCCAAAAATGGAAGAATGGGTCCTATTGTTTTATCTTTTGTCAAAGATGTCTTTTTGTACTCATCCTAATTTATTTAGAACAAGTCAACTTCCTACATAACATTATTGATCCCCAATATGTGTAGGCTCATCTCAATAATTTACTTGATGGATAATATAGAAGGAAAATCCTACTCCCATTATTTGGCTCAATAATGCCAAAGATGGGGTTATAGGCATTTGTACTCTTCTTTAATCATCCTATCACTTATCTTGACATTTGTCATTCATATTATTGGGCTACAAGCCGTGTGGGTCGCCCCCGAGTGGGCCTACGACGCCGTCCTCAAATATTTGCTACTTTAGCAGGTTGGGCCCAAATAATATATGGGCTGCCCGCCCTTCCTCAACTTGTCTTGAAACGTTATGTATAACTATTTAGATAATGTTAGGATCTTTTATTTATTAATAAGGCCCGATACTAATATACGAGTTCGAACAGTATAATAATCAATCATTAATTACGTAAAACAACAATCGTTTCACAATTGTTTGGGAATCAGAAATTCAATACATAAACTTTGAATTTTAAATCGAATTTTCAAGGACGTTCGGGAGCGGTGTCACACAAACTGGGCCATGTCGTACTTGATATCAAAGGCAATCCCATGGAAGCTTTGCAAGATCTGCTTGTTGCACTTGTCGTGTTCGGCGTGCTTTGGAGACAGGCACTTGTTCTCCAGGCCGAACAGACTTTTCCATGGGTGGGGAAGATTGGAGATGGTGAAGTTTGACAGCAGAGGCAACGGGCTGTCATATCCCAGATCTTTCATTCCCTTTATCAGCTCTTCGTTTGAGGGGAGTGGTGCGTAGTTCTTGAGCACCGGGAGCTTTAGTGTCTCCCTGATTGTGGCAGGTGTCAGTACCTTTCTCTTATCGTTCAGCTTTGTCATGATCAACAATTAGGTTCTTTCTCTCCAATCTCAACAAATGGGTGTGATTGCTTCTATTTTTCCTTCTAAACACACTGCAATGTTTTCATTTTAAAGAACCTGGCTTTTGCTATTGTGAAAAGTTGGCCGACCAATTCTTAGAACGAAAAAGTTGATTCATTTTTCAATATAAACAAATTTTCCAGCTGAACCGTGTTCTAAATTAATAGTTGTACGTCCTCCAATTCAGAATGGCATTACATTGGAGTTTATAGAACCCTTTCCTTACTGCTCTTAAATGATACTCTGTAAGTGTGTAATAGGAGCCATACGACACAATCCTTAGGCTACAAGAGTCAGTTTTTTAAATTAAAATATGCATATAAATAAGCATTACCCTTTTCCTCTACTTTGGTTGCATAGACGCAAACATTTTTTTAAAAAGCTTATATAAAACAGGGTAGGTATAAATAGAGGTTTTAGAGCAAAGTATAACCTCAATTCCAGAAGCCATTACTTCGGAGGAGGCTAGGATGTTGAGCGGCTGAAATGGAAGAGAGGAGTCGAGAGGGCTATGAGGATTTCAACGAAATAAATGAAAGAGTACATACAAAAGAAGTGAGGAATTACTCCGTAAGGATATAACGTTTAAAGGCGCGAACACGTTAAAGATGTACAACGAAGTAAATATAAAGTACAATCAGCTTATGCATTAAGAGACACAAACATTTTTTTATGACCGTTTAACCCTTAACATTATTCCCCTTACTCCCTCCGTCCCAAAATGATGGTCTCATATTTCCTTTTTGGGATGTCCCAAAATGATGGTCATGTTTCCCTTTTTCTACTCAAATCCCAATCACAACTTTTACGTTTTCAACCACTTTATTAAAATTTGTGCCCAAAAGAAATGAGACCATCAAATTGGGACGGAGGGAGTATAATATTGTAGAGATTCAATACATTGGGATTATTGATTTTTTGTTTGTAAGCAAATCTAATGTTCCGGCTAGTACCATAGTTGTTTATTGTTTATGTTGAAGTGTTAGTGATGATTAGTGAAAAAGTCTTACATCTAATCTATTTAATTTAATTGATAATTTGCTAAGATAGTGTCATTTAGATAGTTAAATATAAGAAATTCTAAATAGTATATATGTTATTTTAGGTAATTAAATTAAATGTACTAATGTAGGACTAAATTATTACTACGTACTCCATTCGTCCTAATAGAGTATTTAATTCTAGAGAGAAGTGAGAGCTAGAGAGAGAAAATGAGTAATTAATATTTCTCAACCCCCTATAATTAGCCTCAAGGGGTCTATTTATAGGTAAAAATGTGGATTTGGGCTCCTAGCTTTGGGCTTAGGAGACCCATTACAATAATCATGCCTTCTTTGGGCGGAATAGGACCACTAATGGCTTGAGTACAACACTTAGTAAAAAAGGTAGGAAAATGCATTCTGCCAAGGTAACTCTTGGCCGATGCGGTGCCTTTTTGGCCGACGCGGTCCTCTGGCCGATGCAGTTCATGGCCGACGAGGCCCATCTGTCCTCCAGGCGGTGTACTGGGCTGATCCGGTTCTGGCCGTTGCGGGACCCACTAGGCCGAAGGGTGCCACATGGGTGTCCCTTCGGTATCTTTGACCTTGTGAGTATGTGGGCCATGGGGTCCAAACCCATATACTCTATCACGTCCCTTAAAAATTGGCCAGGTTTGATCGACATGAAGATTAATAAAGTAAAAATTATATAGTTGAGATTTGTACAGAGAAAAGAGAATTAACTGGAACCACAAATTATTTACTTTAAGTAAAAGTGGCAAAGTTAGTGACCGAGACACTCAAAAAAGGAATGTTAGTAAAGTTTTAAGGGACAAGGGAAGTATGTAACAATATAATATTCATTTCACTTTTCGATATTTAATGAAGAGATACTTGGTTACAAATCTTTCATTAAGACCGGGCAGATCAAATAGTATTATCTTTAATAGCGGTTTTCAATGAAAGCTATTAAAACTAGCATTGACAACTTTGTCACTCTCCACAACAACCATATAGAATTGCTTCCTCGCTATGAAAATAATGAAGACCGATTTGTGCAATAGAATTTACAACTATATGTTTTTGAGTGCCTGGTTGTATATTTTTTTTTTGAAAAAGATATATTTCGAGATGTTAAAAATATAAGTGTAATTGATCTTCCAAACAGGAAAAATTTTCGGGAACAAATGTGATGTATTTTGTTAACATGTGCTATTGTAAAGTAATAATACAATAATAGTTCTAACTTTTTTTCTAAAGTACTTATTAACTACGTTACTCATTTGCCCCCAACAACATTTTTTTCTGGATCCGCCACTGTGCCAAATCAAGGTAAGAAGAAAATTTTGAGACGGAGGTGATATGAAGAGAGTAGTATAAAAACATGACAAAATAATTTTGTTCTATCGGGTGGGTAATCGTGGGGTAGTGGACATCGACGGGTGCAGACTATGATTACCAAAATATGTGACAGGAAAGGTGGAGTTATCCCTATGGCCTCGCCCCATTTTTATTTATCATTATTTTGTCTCTCCCAAAATATTGTGACACTATTTTATCCTCGAAAATTTATCAATTCAGGAACTGAAAGATGAAATGTGTCGATATAGGATCTGAGTGATTGAAAATTGTCAATCAAAGACTTTAAATATCATAGATTTTGATTTGAATAATTTTTATTAATTTCGTTGCTACCATTTGATGGTTTTTTCTTCACAAAAGTTAAATAGTGTAATAAAGTTTAAAATTAAAAAAATCATGAGATTTAGATCTTATATTGATAGATTTTAATCATTCGGGTCATATATCAATAAATTTCATCGTTCAGACCCCTTATTGATAGTTTTTATCTTTCAAATCCTAAGTGTATAAAATTCATATTTTCGTTTTAGTAGAACAAAAACAAGCAAAATTTAAAAAATGAACCAACACCATCATTATTTAGCATATTGTTTAGATTTTAATTCTTATATATTTGTGACATTATAATTAATTAGTGTAGCTAATTCATCTCTTAGGATTTATGAATCGGAAAGGCCTCTCTCCTTTGAGTGAGAATGCCCATAGAAGTTGCTCCACCTCTCTTTTCCATCCAAACTTTTTAATCCAACCTTATTGTAAGAGAGAGAAATAGAGGATTTTCCTTGAGTTGCAAAGACTTATTGTCATACAAAAAAACCAGCGCCACCCCAAGAAATAAGGATTCATGAGAGACTACCAATCCCTGGGAACATGCTTTTCCTTCCCCGGGTTGGTGTCTTTTGATTTTCTTTTTTTCCTTATCAGACAAACCCCGGGGTGAAAATGGCACATTGTGTATGCTCGTTCCTCTTCTTTTTCATCATCATCATCATCCTTTTCTACCCACCTTTGTTTCTCTCCTTAGAAGATCATGAGGCCCTATTGCAGCTCAAAGAATCAATGGGGAACACCAAAAGCCTCGACGGTTCTTGGAAAACTGGGACACATCCTTGTGATCGGAACCAACAATGGTTCGGCATCCAATGCCACAATGTGACCATTACCGGGCTCCGTCTAAATGGGCTGGGCCTCTCGGGTGAAATCAGGGTTGATGCATTATCGAGCCTGAAAGGCCTCAGAATGATCGCCATGGCGAACAACACATTCTCGGGTCCGATTCCGGGTTTCAACAAACTTGGGGCTTTAAGGTCCATATTCATACACGAAAATAAATTCTCAGGAGAGATTCCTCCAGATTTCTTCTCCAAAATGACCTCGCTAAAGAAAGTTTGGTTATCGCGCAATAAATTTTCTGGGAAAATCCCCGAATCTTTCGGAAGGTTACCCAACCTAATAGAGCTTCACTTGGAAGAAAATGAATTCTCAGGTCATATTCCATCAATGGCCCAAAAATCTCTCACCAACCTCAACATGTCTAACAACAAATTGGAAGGGGAAATCCCATCCATCATGGAGAAGTTCGGGCAGAAGCCCTTCGAGGGGAATCCCAAGCTGTGTGGAAAACTAGTGGGAAGACATTGCGAGGTGACGGCCAACAATTCCGAGGCGAATGGTGACATTGTACCATCCTCTAATGAAAATGCCCCTTCACCATCGTCAGGGACAAAATGGGTTGTCCTTGCGGTTGTCGTCGCCTTTTTAACTGTCACAATTCTTCTGCAAACAAAGAGTAAGGAGGATAGCTTTGGAAGATTGGAGAAAGAGAATCTTGATGAGGTCGTAATAGTAAATAATTTGTTTATATTTTTTAGTAACTTTGTTTACATAAAATGTTAGGAACTTTATTTCACAAAAATAGTACTTCTAAAATAATTATTTTCGTACTGGTATTTCTTAATAAAAATAGCACTAGAAGATGAGTGTGTATTAGTAAATATTTTGATTGTTAATCTCCATAGGTTGTGCCTGTGCATATGGCAAGCACGAACCGGAGGACCATGAGTATTTCGAGTAGGAAGGGGTCAAGAAATGAGTCTGTTCATGGTTCAAAGCGGGGAGGATCCCATAGTGGAAGATCAATGGGTGATCTTGTCATCGTGAACAATGAGAAGGGCATGTTCGGGCTGCCAGATTTGATGAAGGCGGCTGCTGAGGTGCTGGGGAATGGTGGGTTAGGATCGGCTTACAAGGCGGTGATGGTGAATGGCCTTTCTGTTGTCGTAAAGAGACTACGAGAAATTAATAAGATCAGCAAAGACAATTTTGATGCGGAGATCAGACGGCTCGGGAGGATAAAACACCAAAATATTTTGACACCGTTGGCTTACCATTACCGAAAGGAGGAGAAGCTCTTCATCTCTGAGTACATCCCCAAAGGCAGCTTGCTTTATATGTTGCATGGTATGTACATGGTTCCTCAAATCTTGTGGCATATGTTGACCAGTATGCGATGACTTTATATGCTTGCAAGTGGTGACTAATTTAGAAATTTGTGGTAATTTTTAGTTGTAGCTGGATTAAATTAGTCATTTGAAATTAAATGATTCTTACACTATGTTAAGGCAGAGTTTCATCTAGAAGGTAAATTATATATTATGAATAACTCATAAGCTTATTATCAGTAACACTTGACGTTGTATTTATTAGATTGAGATTGATTGTAAAGGAGTGTCTCACATTTGGCTAGAAATTGATTCTTCATTGTACGGGTGTTTGTCGATTTGGCTTTGTCTATTTTCAATCCGGAGAAAAGGAAAACGTAGATCCGAACTGAGTAACCTGAATCAGTTTTATTTAGTTCAGTTATAATTCGCAGTCTATTCATGTCTTTTTATTCATTTTGGAAAGGCAATTTTTCAAACTTAAACCTTAAAGTGCAAGTTGAACCACACATGGGTTGTTTGGCTTTCCGCTTTTGTCTATTTGAGAGCATGCTACTTGGATTTAGTTGGTTTCGATTCAACAAATTGTATACTGGTTTTGGTTTATAGTTTTTTTTTGTTCAGCCCTACTTAATAGAGATTTATTGTAGGTGATCGCGGGATATCACACGCGGAGCTAAACTGGCGGACACGTTTAAGAATCATAAAGGGAGTTGCAAGCGGAATGGCATTCCTACACACAGAATTTGCATCATACGATGTGCCACATGGGAACCTGAAGTCAAGCAACATACTTCTATCCTCAAACAATGAACCCCTCCTGAATGACTATGCGTACTACCCACTTGTGAACAACACATCGACTGCTCAATCCATGTTTGCCTTCAAAACACCCGAGGGAATCCTGCACCAACAAATATCCCCAAAGAGCGACGTGTATTGCTTAGGGATCATCATCCTTGAAGTCATGACGGGAAAGTTCCCTTCACAGTATTTGAACAACCAGAAAGGTGGGACTGATGTGGTGGAGTGGGTGAGACAAGCAGTGGTGGAGAAGAGAGAGGGAGAAGTGATTGATCCGGAAATAGCGACTTCCAACTCTACAGATTCGTTACCTTTGATGGAAAGACTTCTACATATTGGATGTGCATGCACGGAGACTGACTTACTTAAAAGGGTTGATATGAAGGAAGCCATCAGGAGAATAGAAGACATCAAAGAGTGATGATGAGTAAGAGGTTTACATGGGCATTTTTTATAGATTATGTTTACTTTAGATTAGTAGGCTTAGGAGACACAGGCATAGGAGGAACATATTGTCATGAATTCTTTCAATGTGCGTGAAAAGAGGAAAATGACAATCCTAAAAGGTTTACTGTATATTCTTTTTTTTCTTTCTTCATTGTATGTATCAAATTTAACATTCAGGTAGAGTTGGATTCTAATTGAACTTAACACAAAAAATTTAAGAACTTCATCTTTATGCATTTCTATATTTGGAAAGCTTAAGAATGATGCAAAGTATTGCATTATTTCTCACCCACCTCATGATAATTGGTCTTAGTAAAGATTTTAAGGAGTCCTGTATGATTTATTTATGGAGATATATAGTCTATCTTGAAAATGTCAACACCACACTCATTTACATTGGTTGACTCCACCATAAAAGTGCATGATGTTGATTTGACCAAGTGAACCTACATGATTCCAAAGTCCTAAATGGCTCCTTAGAACTACTCATCCTCTTAAACTCATCATATACCTGTAGTGCATATATGTGTACTCACCACTATATCAAAATAATCAAACTCTAAATCCATGTTTCACTCGCTTTCATCTCCACCGTCCATTTACAATAAAAACCTACTCGAGAGGGGGAGTAGAAACAAACAAACTAAAGTGATGTCAAACCCATCAAACTGGGAAATAAAAGACTGTTTTATAAACCGGTCCAAGAAGCGACCTTCCAAATGATTGGGCCACACTACAATTGGGTCAATATTGGGAAAATACGATTAACATGTATAAATTTTTATAATATCAAATATATAACAATTTATAAATTAAAACAATAGGTAATTATTCTTCATAAAATTGAATAGATAATGATAACACTTAGTAGGGATTGAAAACACACTTATAGTATGATAAAATATTATTTTAGTCCTATTTCAATCAATAATGTGATTTCATATTTGTTCTGTGAAAATATAAAATAATTTTGACATGATTTTCTTTCTAGAATAAGTATTCAAACATATCACTTTTTTTTAATTACAATTCACCTATCTATCTTTCAGGTCATAGATTGATAAAATTTCAAGAATAAACTACACCAAAAATCAAAAGTAAGAGTACATGTTTTATATTCCCAAAATATGAGTTTAATTACTTTTCTACCGTTGCACATTACCCCCCCCCCCTCTACCTCCCTCTTCCGTTTGGGTTTCCCCCCATCTTCTCTCTCGATCTCTCTCCAATCCCTCTCCTGTTCAGGATTCCCCATCCACATGGGGTGATTCCCACCCCCTTCTTCTCCTTCCTTCTTCACATCGAGAGACTTCCCCTGCTATTCTTTTCTCCTTCTCTTAACGACTATGAAATATAAGAAAGTAACAATGTGCTACTGCTTCTAAATATTTCTTCGTTGCCGACCTTAGATAGTGTAATAATGGTTCATGCAACACTAATCTCAAAATTTCGACTATTCGACATCCTCCTTTTGGTTTTTATATTAATTCACGAGTATATATACAAGTGAGTCCTCTACTAATGAAGATGATACTTTTGAGAATCAAGATTACACTTTCCTATCTGTCAACATAACAATATTGTTTGATGATGACCATTTTAATTTGATTACAATAATATGACTTCATAATGACAACACCGCTTTATAGTGACAATATGACTTTGTAATGACATTATGGTTCCATAATAGATGCTTTGGTGTTTTATTTTTGACTTCCGTTTTTCGCTTGGAGCCTGTAAGGTCATTCTCGTCATTTTATTCATTTTCAGTATTACATAGATTTTTTTCTAAAGTCCTACACAGATAATCAGACGTTCTAATTATTGAAAGTCTAATTTTTTTCTTTCAAAAAAGAAAAGAAAAAGAAAGTGTGAGTTTTTTGGCAGAAGAAATCTTATATTAAGCTTGAAAAAATCATCCTCCCAACAACATAAACAATCCATGTTGAAAGTGTGAATTCTTCTTCTTCACAAAAGTAGGAATTCTTAGGCCTGAGATCGGTTCGGTTCTTGTTAAAATTCGATTGAACCGTATTAAAAATTAAAGGTGTTAAATTCGGTTCGGTTCTAGTTAAAAATGTACTGTGTAATTGTTAATTTCAGTTCGGTTCTAATTAAATTCGGTACGTTTCTTGCCTTTTTCGGTTCATTATAAAAATTTATTATCCTGCTAAAATGAACACATTTTACCTTCACTTACGTAAAAAAATTCAAGTTTCAAATCATGAAATTATGACCATTAAATTATACATGATATCCTAAATTCCCAATGTTCAAATATCACAAAAATATCCAAGTGCAAACATTACTAACTTTGAGGGTATAACTAGCTTTTAAAAGTTATTATAGTGTTATTACTACTATTATTACTATTTCTATTATTAATCGAATATATTTGATTAACATTGGAATCGAATATATTGATATTCATATTTTTATTTGATAACAATTTGAATCAAATTTAGTATTCTTAATTGTATCTGTATTTAATTTTTTTGAATTCGAATCACGAACCAAACATAAATTATTTGATTCATATACAACCATAATCTCAATATTTTAATATCACAAAAATATCCAAGTGCAAACATTAAATTTAAACATAACAAAAACATAAAGGTTTAAAGTAAGCATCAACTATCAAGCAAAAAGGTTTAATAGCTCCAAAGTACATATCCAATTGCAGGTAGTTCAACTCCAATATTATATTCTTCTACCAGTAATGCACCATAAGTAAAAAGTACAGAGTAATAAACTGACTAGTAATATTAGTAATTTACTATGAACAAATAACAACGTAATCAGCAGAATATTAATTCCATTTCTAGGTGAACTTAAATAAAAAATACAATTACAAAAAATCTAAAGGTGGACTAAAGTAGTAAAATAACAATTACTCGGATTAGCCTGGTCCACAATATATAAGGTATATTATGCAAGCCAAATATTCGTTACTAGAATTTTCTACCCGGAATGCCGTCTAGCCACCTCCATTTGAGGTGCTTCCGGGTAGAATTTTTTGATGCATTTTTGTGATCATGTTCTACATGAATTGTAGATTATATCCACAAAATTTCAGCATAAAATTCAATCGGGAAGTAAGTTAAATAAAATATTGAAAAACATTGTGTTTTTTACATGTATTTTGAGGTAGTGTTTTCAATAATTTATTGAACTAACTTCCCGATTGAATTTTAAACTCAAATTTGGTGGACATAATCTTTACGTCATGAAAAAAAGCTCACAAAATTTCATCACAAAATTCCACCCAGAAGTACCTTAAATCAAGATTACTCGTGCAATGTATAAGAAGTTCGGTTCCTGTCTAGGAATCAGAACCGAACCGGAATCCGATCCAACACTATAGAAATGGAACCTAAAAAGTTGAAGCCCAAAATTACAGGAATCGATCCGGAAAATTCGGTTCAATTTGGATGGGTGTTCTCGGGTTTAGGGAGATTTCAACAAATAGGACTTAATCATACTAATTTTCCAAAATTAAGACTACAAATCAGCATAAGACTTAAGTACACATGGTTTACCAAATTGTCCTTGGTTTTAAATCCCCTGCGCATCAAATAAACACCCCCTGCGCATCAAACAAACATCATCGAGACCTCTCTCCTCACGATTCAGATCAATCGACTACCCCGTCATCTTCATCGCGGCTGATTTCACCATTACAGATGTCGAGACCACCATCGCCGACGCACCAGATAGCGCGCTGCTCCGGTTGACATCATCGGCCGCCGCCGCCAAAGGTGTCTTCTTCTTCTTTTTCTTCTTTTTCCTCGTCTTCTTCTTCTTCTTCTTCTTCTTCTTCTTCTTTTCTGATTTTGGACATTGATTTTGCCAATTTCGAACTTCTATTTCATATTTTCACAAGGCCATCAGGTACTCTGCAGAACTTTTGAAGAAACCAGATCCAAAATCAAACTTGCAAACACTAGACAATACATAGACATTAAGTAGTCAGTAAACAAACAATAAGTTCTAACAATAGCTCAATAGCAGGGAATACATAGACAGTAAGTAGTCATTAAACAGACAGTAAGTAGTATAAATAAATAGCCTAAATTCTTAAATTAAATGCGCGCAGATCCGCAGTTGGGAAATTGAAAGAAAGATGAACATGGTTTTGTTTATAATAGTCATCAACATCTTCTTGGTTTATGGTTTGGCACTCGAAGACGGGAGGAAGAATATGAAGATGAACTATGGTGGCGAGGAAGAGGCGGCTTTGGATGTTTTGAATCCATTGAATGATGAATATGAAGAATCATTAAGAGCAGGCGGAGTACGTTTACTATCTCCCATGCCCAACCCCTCACACCGCCAAATTCATTTTCCGCCCCTGCCTCCAATTTATCGTGTCACGGCGGCATCAAAGCAGCTCTCTCCATGTGTTCACGATGTATCCGACCAAAACCAGGTTGGTGAGACCATGTCGATCGATTTCAAGCTTCCATATCGATGTAGTACCGGCGAAGCGGGAGAGACGGGAGCGACTAAGGTATTTAGTTTTAATAAATAAGTGAAGGGTAAAATTGGAAATTTAAAATCAAGTTTTCAAAAATAGAACTACATAGCTCTTACGCAGGGAAGAAACATACGTAGGTACTATTTTTATAAAATTCCTATGATTGAGGATGTTTTTACTTGGACTGTAATTTGCTGGTCTGATCTGGTCTGGTCTGGTCTGAACTTGTCTGGTCTGGTCTGGTAAGGTCTGGTTTCTTTGTATTTTTATAACTATCCATGTCTGGTCTGGTCTGGTCTGAACTGGTCTGGTCTGAACTGGTCTGGTCTGGTCTGGACTGGTCTGGTCTGATCTGGTCTGGGACAAATTACAGTCCAAGTAAAAACATCCTGAGTCCTAAAGGGAGCAATTTTCTCTCGGTTTTACCGTTCAAGTCCGGAATTCTATATTTACAATGTTCCGCAATTTGCTAATATTTGAGTAATTAACCTGAAATCTTCAAAGTGTGCACAAAACCTGTTCATAGTCTTCTTCCTCCTCTCATGTATGTTGTACTGTTTTTTCACTAAGAAATTTCTTCCATATATCATCTCCAAATAATGTATCTTGCACTGTTTTTTTCTAATTCATTTTATCTCCTTCCTTTGAATGTACTCTTCTTTGTCTTCTCTAGCCCGCCTATAACAGTTTCCCGGGCAACCTGCTGTTTCTGACCTCTACAACTCACCTTCCGACAATTCACCATTCTGCTGCACTGATCTTTTCAAATTTGACTGTAATTTAGGTTCAATCACAATAATAAAGCTAATCCATGCGCTCGAAGATTGAAGCTTTATTCCCAAAATTACCGAGCTGACATCGCTAAATCGTTTAATAGATGGTGGAGACGCTAACGACGACGTCTCCTTCGCGGTGTCGCCGCTGGATCCCTTCGTTCTTCTCCACACACAAGACTCTCATCGTTCTTCTATGGATCACCCTTTTCCTCACTGCGTTTTTATGGAAGTGGGATGCTGCCGACAGAATCTTACTTTTCCGGCGGGTCTTCCCGGTGAGGCAACTACCCAGGCTCCGTCCTGTGGCGTTTAACTTGACGGACTTTGGAGGGATCGGGGATGGAGTTTCGATCAATACGGCGGCGTTTGAGAAGGCTATTCTGGCGATCTCTAAGCTCGATAAGAAGGGAGGAGGGCAGCTTAATGTTCCTCCCGGGTTTTGGCTAACCGGTCCATTTAATCTCACCAGTCATATGACCCTCTTCCTAGCGGAGGGCGCTGTTATTCTTGGCATTGATGTGAGTATCTGTTTATTCAGTGATTTGCTTACAATTTTCATGTTTTGGGTATGCACCAGCAATTAATATTTATACTTGGTCAATTGATTTGAAATTTAAGGACTGCCCTAGCTTATTCCAGGTCCCCATTAAGCAATGTAGACATTCTTTCATTATGTATGTTAAACTTTGTCATTTGATTGCCTGTTTTTTTTATATTCGTAGTTGTTATTGCTCTAAACTATTGTACATCTTATATTGAGACCTATACAGGAAGTACTGTCTTGAATGTCTTAAATTGCATGTTTTAAATCTACTACTCTATGGACAACGGCCGTGAGATCGGGCATCAGATTTTGATGTTTGACAATCTGTAATGGCTTTCTTTGTTCAGATAATTACTAGCTGAAGAATTAATAATCTCTCTTCACTATGATATCCAAAAGATTGGAGTATCACTTCCATATTCCGTACAGGAGCTGGTGAGAGGCAACAATGTTGCTTTCTTTACAATGAGTCTGCGAAATTGTGTAGTTTATGAAAGCTTGTTAGTTGTTACCCAGCGAGTGTGCTAACTAAGGATACCCATTTTTGTTTTGATGCCTAACTAACCAGTAACAATACTTGAAATGTGGTTGACTGGGAATGTCACAACCCTCCAAGGGGCAAACCCCTTTGGAGACAAAGAACAACAACAACATCCAAGTTGTAATCCCAAAAGAGTATGGGGTCGGCAAACCCCATTGAATAAAAGAAAAACAAAGGGGAAGGGGACTCTAGCAACAAAAAGAAGAAACTAAAATACAACCCAAGTCTAAGAGAAGAGTAGCAGCCACCACCAAGCAAATCAAATGGGAAAAGGTTAGCCAAGCGCATCCAAACTAGCTCTACTCTACAAAGCCAGCTTTTGTTGTCTAGCCCCAACTAAAACCAGTATGAGATAATAACAATGTGGCCAAGCTAGGGCAAGCCTCAAACTAAAACATAGCCCCCTCATTCAATTCCAGTATCCAGACTAAAAAAGGTTTAAAAACCACGCTAGCTGTGAAAGATATAGAATATACTTTAGAATATTATAATATACTTCAGAATATTCTAGGAATATACTTTAGGATATTATTATTGTATAGAATCTTTTATAGGAATATTCTATTTGTAATGTATATTTATAGGGACTTAACCCTTCAATGAAATACACAGAAAATCATTCTCTCCATCTTAAATATTATTCTAGTTTATATTTCAACATGGTATCAGAGCCATCCAATTCAGTTTAGTTTTCAATTTTTTTTAGTTTAGTTTTTCATATCTCATTTAGTTTTCAGACCGGGTTATTTCTCCAAGAACCTGAGTTCAGTCCAGAATCTTCAGAACCTCAGGCACCACACTGTCTTCAAGAAACTCTAAACACCCTCAAACCAGAATCTCTATTCAGAACATCAGCCCAGAAATTTTAGCTTCTCAGAACCTCCAAATCTCAGAACCTCTTCCCAGAACCTCCTACTTCCCAGAACCTTGATCGGAATATTTCAACACTAGCCATGCATATTAAGAAAAGGAGAAGATAAAGTGGAAAGGCTCTCCCAAACACCAAATAACAATTAAGCTCTTGCGGGAGCTTTCTGCAATGCCTTAGATAACTAATACGGAAATACCTTTGCTCTCAGTTATAATGCTCCCTTTACACAGTCTGGGAAGACCATTCCAGCACAAGTCCATGAGATATAAGTTCATATATTTATTTGTATTCAAGAGATTAATGACATTATTTCCTTTTCCGAGTGCACGAGATCCAGTGATTTGTTTCTTTTTTAAGCTTCCTTATTTGGAAATGAAGAAGGAAGAAAGAATTAAGAACAGTAAGAAAGGAGTTGCGAAATTTGGTGAAAAGTTAACCGTGGGCATCCTTATGAATGCCTAGTTGACGCCTAAGTCACATCATTCAATGTTTGGCACTCTTCTGGCAAGGGGTCTAGCAATGGTGATTGTCATGCATTACCTGGACGTGTAGGCATAACCTAATCCTTGCCTAGATGGCACCATGGCATCTATGACTTATAGTGCCATTTAATTATCTGAAATTATTTAATGCGAGACATTCATGCAACGAGCGTAGTGGCTATGCTTAGCACCGGATGCCCTTTGTGTCACAACCTTTATAAGAAAGACCACTGCGATATAAGTTCTTAAACCTTCACTATCATAGGTATACTCCACATGCATGGAAAATATCATGGGATAGTGATGCGAATATGCGATGAGATTTTTTTCATGACCATTACATGAACTGTATTTCAAGCTAGAACAATGTGTGAATCATGACCACATCCTTGCTTTTAGGGGGAAAATGGTATTTTTTCATTAATTGTAGCAAACTAACTATGGCACATGTAATCTTCACGTCCTCTAACCTTTAGTGAAGGGCTGCACAATAATTATAATGAATTATTGATTGAAGAGAATCATTTTCCATTCCAGTTTTGGAGTTGCAGCTATTCTGATATATGAGTCCACTGAACAGGATGAGAAGTATTGGCCTCTCATGCCTCCATTACCTTCATATGGATATGGGAGAGAGCATCCCGGACCGCGCTATGGAAGTTTAATCCATGGCCAGAATCTCACAGATGTTGTCATAACAGGTCAGACTGTCAGATTGTTTTCTTTGGATCCTCTTATAGTCTTTTTCAGTCAATTTCTAAGTTATAATCTTGGCAAATATAACATTCTCCAAGTTATCGAGACTTAGTTGATCAAGTAGTTCTACTTTGTTTCTTAAGGAGGCTAATCCTTAAATTATAGCAGCTGGTTCTTAGTTCAGTGGCCTGTTAGAAGTTAGAACTTAGAAGTTCTAACAATATGGCAATATTTATTACCCAATTCACCCTTCAGTTTTTTATTCTATTGCATCTTATTTTTCCTTTCAAGATGTTCCCCTGCAATTTTCTACCGGAGTATATCTTATAAATATGGATTCTGCTTTTATATTTTCACCCCTGCTCACACCTCATGACGTCCTGAATGACACAATTCAATAATTCACGATGATCTCATACCAAATGTAAGAAAAATTGTGTGTTTATTTTAAAGATTAGCCTATTTATCCTACTTTTAAAAATTTTGAAATTTATTGTGTGCGTAATTTAAAGGTTAAAATGATAAACATGCAACCTTTTATCCTGTTTTTGATCACCTTATTTCCCTCCAAAATCAATGATTTCAAGTAACAAGAAATAAATTTATACTTTCCTTTCTAATTTTACCTCAATCCACAGATGACCAGAGGCAACAGTAATCATGGAAAATAAATTTAAGCTAGACAGGTAGCTCAACTGGCTTGAACCCAGAGCTTGAAAGCCTATGAGGCTTCTCATTTGACTACCAGAGAGGCTACTGGGGCCTCCCAGCCATTAAATTTCAAGGCCTTCGGGATTAGTCGGCTGAAATGATTCAGAAACCTGCAATAATAAATTCGAAATAAAGGGAATAAAAAATACGGAGTAATTTATTTCCCCTTATTTTATTTTCAGTAAAACTTTCAAACATAGTGTCCATAGACTGTCCAGAGAGTAAAGGGCAGTGGAATTTATGTTGCTTTATTTTTGGTTAAAAGTTAAAACCCTTTCATATGTATTATAAACGAGTACACACATGCTGCTACAACAGGTCACAATGGCACCATAAATGGGCAGGGCCAAACATGGTGGAAGAAATATAGGCAGAAACTTCTAAACTACACCAGGGGACCACTTGTTCAGATAATGTGGTCTAGGGATATTCTGGTCCAGAACGTAACACTGCGTGATTCCCCCTTTTGGACCTTCCATCCATATGATTGTAAGAACATTATTGTGAGAGACGTAACAATACTTGCACCTATTACAGAAGCTCCAAATACTGATGGCATTGATCCCGGTGAGTGTTTAATCTGTTTAGCCTTTTGGGAAATTTATTTTTTTCTAAACACTCTTTTCTACATAGTTGTCACCACATGAGTTGCTCATTTGATTATTATTATTGACTAAAACAGATTCATGTGAAGATATGCTTATTGAAAACTGTTACATAAGTGTTGGAGATGATGGCATTGCGATAAAGAGTGGTTGGGATCAATATGGGATAGCCTATGGACGGCCATCAAGAAATATACTCATAAGAAATGTTGTAGTTCGTTCCATGGTCAGGTGTGGGCTTTCTTTCTTGACTCGACTGGTTTTACATTGTGTATATTATCTTTTCTACCTTTCATTTGTTATGTGTTTGCGTTTGGTTGTTTCCTTCAGTTTTCCAAGAAGTGTTTCTTGTTTTTGTTTTTTCACAAATATCTAAAATGTCATAGCATTTTCAGCAAATCTGTTTTTTTATATGTGATTTATATAATGTATTTTATATAATTTGAGTATACTACTTTTGTGGAGTACATAAATTTTACTACGTTTGTGGAGTAGTTTTTAAATGTGCACCGACATCAAAATTGGTAACTTGTTTTCAGCAATAATATAAGAGAAAATCGCGTTTTCAAAAATTTCAAATGTCTCTTTTCGTTTTTCATAAAATTAAACAGACACCAGTGCCTAACCCATTCTCTTTTTGTTTTTAGAAAATAAAAAAGCAGTTACTAAATAAAAACGTCACCTAGGAATATTTATACAAATACAAATTTAGATCCCAATTTTTCATCTATTTTCTTTGCCTAGAATTTCCGTTGCAGACAGACTCTTAACTTTCACTTTTGGAAAATTTTGCAATTTCAATCTAACACAACTCACCTATTTTTACACAATGACAGTGCCGGAGTATCAATAGGAAGTGAGATGTCCGGTGGGGTTTCAAACATCACCGTTGAGAACTTACACGTGTGGAGCTCAAGACGTGCGGTTCGAATCAAGACTGCCCCAGGCAGGGGAGGGTACGTTACGGGCATAACATACCATAACCTGACCTTTGAAGATGTCCGCGTTGGTATTGTCATAAAAACAGATTACAATGAACATCCAGATGACAAGTTTGACCCTAAAGCAGTTCCCATACTAGAGGACATAACTTACACGTCCATCCACGGCGAGGGGGTAAGGGTTCCTGTCCGTCTCCAGGGGAGCGAGGAAGTCCCCATTTGGAACGTCACTTTCCGGGATATGTCTGTCGGGATCACGTATAAGAAGAAGCACATATTTCAGTGTGCTTATGTTCAAGGACGTGTTATAGGTACAATCTACCCTGCACCGTGTGTGAACCTTGATTTGTACGACGAACAAGGACAATTGATCAGACAGTCAGATTCCCAGAATGTGTCCGACATAGATTATAGCTTTTGAAATTCCATTTTAGTACATCTCCTAAATCGCCGCCTTAAACTGCATTACCCCTTACTTTGTTTTTTATTTTTCCAAGTTCCTTTTTCATTCTTTGTATGTACAGTTAATGTATCCAAAGGCATATCAATATAGTTTCTGGAATGCTAAAAAGACTTATAATCCATCTTCATATTGCAAATATGATAAAGTTAATTAAGTGTCTGATAGGTCTTTGGGATGACATGAAAGGATTGTTTAGACGTTTTTGGCATGTCAAACTGTGAAAGTGCTCATAAGCAATACGGAGTATATCTTTAAGCTTAAAAATTGATGATAGCCCATGCGCCCCTCGTAAAAATTGATGGGTAACTTTGCCAAAGTTGATTGACCTGTAGAATAAAGTAAAAATTGTATCAGTGAAGTTTGTGTAGAGGAGAAAGAATTAATAAGAACCATAATTTATTTTTTATCTAAAAGGTAACTTGGCAAAGTTGGTGTGATAACAAAAAAAAAGTTAAAGTTGATAAAGGTATTAGAGATAGAGGAGTAATGTTTAGTATGAGTCGTGAAGTACTTAACCCTGTCTTAAATGTAATGTGACAAATGTGTAGGGTGTGGTGTTAGGAGAATGGCAGTTATCTCTTTGCTCTTAATTTTTTTTACACGGTGCAAAAAATATTGTACCGTTAAATTTATTTTTGGCAAAAAGACATTTGGTTTGATGGGATACCCGTCAAACTGACCTCACACGAAACTACTCATATATATATGAGTAGGCCTAAGAATTGAAATTCTTAGGCCTCTTTCATTTGAGGTGCTTCCGGGATATATTTTTTGATGAAATTTTGTGAGCATGTTCTCCATGAAGTGTTGACTATGCCCACCAAATTTCAGAATAAAATTCAATCGGGAAGTCGGTTAAATAATTTTTTCAAAATTGTGCATGTTTTTACATAAATAAAATGCAGTTTTTTTTCAATAATTTATTTAAACGACTTCCCGATTGAATTTTATTCTGAAACTTGGTGGACATAATCTTCAATCCATGGAGAACATCCTCACAAAATTTCATCAAAAAAATCGACCCAGAAGCACCTCAAATGAAAGAGGCCTAAGAATTATAACTCTTAGGCCTACCTTACCTTATCATTACCCTATATATATATATATATATATATATATATATATATAGAAGTTGGTTTAAATAAAAAATACTTCATAGGTGAAAAATAAGAACTAATTTTGGCCATTGATGTGAAAAAATGGATGGAAGAGATCAAATTTTAAGGTTGAAACGCGGTGGCATTTTTGTAATTACGGAGAACTTTTATTGAAAATTTTGTGACAAATGTGTATCAGAATAGTTAAAAAGTGCACACGTAGAGTAAAAAAGTGCAATACCGTATAAAATAAAAAGTACAGAAGTTGGCAAACTTTGACAATCTTTTTTTACACGCATGAGTGCACTTTTAATTAGTAAACTATCCACTTTATAGTACAAACATTTGCACATTTATTGAAACGGGTTATTGTGATTAAAGTTCATCTCATCCATCTATTTTCAAGTGATCAAAGGTCAAGATTTATTCTCACTTTTCATGGGAAGACTAGTTTTTACTTGAACTGACCCCTATCAAAGATCAAAGTTCATATATATATTTAGGTTCAAGTGAGAAAACCATCTTAGGAGAGAAATAAGAACAATCTCCAACCATTAGATCAAGGTGTTGATTTGTTTTATATTTCGGATTTACGTAGGGCTATTAGGTCATTTATTTATAATCCTTTCCTTCTTTCACGTTTTTTCTTAACGGATTTTCTTTGATTTGTGTTTGATTCTAATTTAATGCTCCTTCCAATGATTAATAATCTAATTTAAGTACTACTCCGTATATTACATAAACCTTCGTAATAGCAAGTGGTGCAAGAAAGAGTGTTGCTTGGGGCGTTCACACGGAGTCGGGATGCCAATAAAACATATGAAGTCATGTGGATACTCATATTCCATAAATTAATACTATTTAATTACTTATACTATTTAATGTATTACATTCAATATGCTTTTTATTGACTTCTATTATTCATTATTTTATTATTCTATATTTAGTAGTTTTTTTTCATTTTTGTTATGCTATACGAGTGTTATAAAAATTACTTTTTATTGTTTTCACTTTCTTAAACATTGGATGCACTTAAATTCCCTTATTCATGCACTTCTTAGTAGTTTTGTTTCCGGTACTATTTAAAATCAGATGCACCCTTTTGAATAAACATTTGCTCTTATTTTACAAACTTTTGCACTCTTTAAATTTACACTTGGACAATGGGGTGCACATTATATAATATAAAATATATGATATATGTTATCTTTAATAAGAACTAATTTAATATTTATCGAGAAGTGCACAATGACTTACATGTAAGCGAACAAGTTAATTCACATTATCATACTAAAAGTGCATTTTAATGTAATGAAAAGTATATGTACGAAAAGTTTTATATACATTTCAAAAGTGCGAAATATTGTGCTAAAAGTGCACAAATTTGTCATAGTCAAACTATCATTTAAATGAACATTAAGATGCACATTTCAATGTTAGAAGTGCACAAGAACTTAAATTGTCACGCCCCGGACCTACCCGGACACGTCAACAATCCGCCGTACAGTACGAATGGTCAACCGCAGTCCAACACATCCATACTATACAAGGCGTCTGGAATATCATTCACACGTAGTACATCCATAAACAAACATAATGTAAAATATTCATTCAAGCAGCGGAAAACATTTAATATAAGTGTTTATGCCACACTTTGGCAACCATGGGCATACAAGCCCCCAAACAAATATTTAAAAATAGTATCCATGAGCATTGTTCAAAATGTTTTCGAAACAGGAACGGAAGAAGCACGAACCACGTCTCCCTCCTTTGATCTTCCCGAAGCAACGGGCGGTGGTAGCAACCTTCAAGTTCTACCTGAAACTGTGAGGTGGCCTCCCCCGTGAAGGGGAGGTCAGTACTTGGAAGCATTTGACAAGTACAATGACAACTATACTAAATATAATCAAAGTTTCAATTTCCAAGACCCTCAATCTAGGGTGTTATTGTATCGTGGTTAACTTTATTCGTTTAGTGTCAATTCATCATTTCTTATTACGGTCTAGAGCCCAGCTCAATAATCACCGTTACCTACTACGGTCTAGAGCCCAGCTCAATAATCACCGTCATCTACATCGGTCTAGAGCCCAGCTCAATAATCACCGATAACTACTACGGTCTAGAGCCCAGCTCAATAATCACCGTTATCTACATCGGTCTAGAGCCCAGCTCAATAATCACCGATAACTACTACGGTCTAGAGCCCAGCTCAATAATCACCGTTATCTACATCGGTCTAGAGCCCAGCTCAATAATCACCGATTCTTTACAATTCAATTTCTTAGGATCCATTCATCCATTATTCAACTACAATTCCAACTAATATTTCAATACTAGTTATTTATTCATTTCAATGTAATTCTTCATTCAATATGTAATTTGGCCTCAATATCAAAATATCACTTTTATTCCTTCATGGCTTCTTCTCATGAAATAAAAGTATACTTATCACAAGTGGGATTTATGGTTGATACTACTATCATGTCATCATATTCATAACATTTAGACATACACAATTTATTCAATAAATTTGTATATTATGCAAACTATACTTATAATCAATAGTAATTTCATTTAGGCATTATTAACCATTAATAATCCATGCAAATCACATTATATATCCATTTAGGAAATCTTATGAAATTAACCCAAAGATTATAAGCAATATAGTCGGTCATCCTCACCTTAAGTGAGCTTAAACGTGTTCTACGCTTCGCGGTTGAACTTTGACTAATTCCGGCGAACTTTGACCAACTCCGGTGAACTTTGACCAACTCCGGCGAAGCTCAAAAATACTTTAATCAAGTTCCTAACAAGGTTTTAACATGATAAAACCTTAATCAATACAAATAACCTTTACAAGGTTATTTTCCGGTGAACTTGTCGGTTTGGCTTCTAAGTCCGTTCTTGGACTTAGAACCACTCTCCAACCCATTATTCCACACTCTTAGAATGTAGAACAATCTCAAGGATTCTCCATATGATACATATCTCATATGATGGAAGGAAAAATAGAGAAAAAGTTATGATAAGGTTATTACCTTAATTTTCACACTTTTAACACTTTTAGCTCCTTTTCTTGGGATTCTTTCTTGTTGAGCTCTCTTCAACAATGGAGGAAAGAAAATGGAGGACTCCTTGTTCTTGCTTGGTGTGTGCTGGCCGCAGGTATGAGGGAGAGAGTGGGTGAGGAGTGTTTTTGTCTCTTTGATCAAATGGGTGTGGGTGGGGAGGTCCACCTCATGTACCTTGATGCCTTTTCTTTCAATTCAAAATCCTCCCTCATGTATTTCCACTCCTACCAGCCGGCCAACCCTTCACTTTGGGTGTCTAAAAACGTGGGTTGGCCCCCACACATGTGGGAGGTCAACCCTTTTTGTCCAGAAGTGTACAATCGGTCCCGAAAGTTGTATTTTTTTGGACAGTTTTAAATATATTTTATTTTATCGGGTCAAATAAAATATATTATGTGTTCTTAATCATTATGACCCTTATAATGAATGTACATTTCCCAACTTTAATTTATAAGCCTCCGAAATTCATTTCGGGCTTTTATCCGTTAAATTACCAATACCGGTATTTTGGCCTTTTTGATCAATCGGTCAACCCCATATCATTTCTTTGGACCAAATAAATTGTCCACCACTATATAAATATTATATTGACCAAGATGAGTAAAATATACGGTCTCGGGAATATCGGGCGGCCCCCGCTCCCGGTGTGGGCCCCGCATGCAATTTACTATTCACGCGAATAAGAATAATAAAAATTCACAACTTCGCATACTCATTAATCATTCTACAAGTTCAATACATTATTTACTTAAAAGTAACTACTTTTTGGGGACGGTGTTACAAGTTCACCCCCCCTTAATTGGGATTTCGTCCCCGAAATCCACGTGTCTAATCGAAAAGAAACGGGTATTGCTCCCTCATTGAGACCTCAGTCTCCCAGGTTTCTTCTTCGACTCGATCACTCCTCCAAAGAACCTTCACCATAGGAATCTCCTTGTTCCTCAGTTTCTTTACCTGTTGACCCACAATCTTTACCGGTTCCACCGCATATTGTAGGTCTTCACGTATCTCCACCGGTGGCTTCTCAAGAATATGAGATGGATCTCTCACGTATTTCTTGAGCATCGATATATGAAACACGTCGTGTATCTTCTCAAGTTCTGGCGTCAACTTGAGACGGTATGCCACGGCCCCAATCCTTTCAAGGATTTCGAACGGACCAATGTATCGGGGGTTGAGTTTTCCCCTCGATATAAATCGGATGATACCCTTCCAAGGAGAAATCCTTAGGAAGACCTTATCACCGACCTCGAACTCCAATGGCCTGCGTCGTTTGTCGGCATAACTCTTCTGCCGATCTTGGGCAGCCTTGAGTCTATCCTGAATGACTTTCACCTTAGCTTTGGTGATTTCAACAAGTTCAATCCCTTCGAGCTTGGCCTCGCCAACCTCGTCCCAACACAACGGTGTTCTGCATTTCCTCCCATACAAGGCCTCGTATGGAGGCATACCAATACTCGCCTGATAACTGTTGTTATAGGCGAACTCGACTAGGGCCAAATGTTTGTCCCAACTTCCTTGGAACTCCAGAGCACATGCCCTAAGCATGTCTTCCAATATCTGTATCACCCTTTCAGATTGTCCATCCGTCTGTGGATGAAAAGCTGTGCTAAACTTCAATTTAGTACCCAAGGATGCTTGAAACTTGGGCCAAAATCGAGATGTGAACCGTGGATCCCTATCCGAGACAATGGATATCGGGACTCCATGTAGTCTCACAATCTCTTCCGTGTATAACTTTGCCAATCTTTCAAGAGGATAAGTAATGTTGATAGGTAAAAAGTGTGCACTCTTAGTGAGCCTATCAACCACTACCCATACTGCATCGTAGTTGTTCACTGTTCGTGGTAGCCCCACCACGAAGTCCATGGTAACATGCTCCCAGTTCCATTCTGGAATGGTCAGTGGCTGCAAAAGCCCTGCCGGGTGCTGATGCTCTGCCTTAACTTGTTGGCAAGTAAGGCATCGACTCACGTACTCTGCGATGTCTCTCTTCATACCCGACCACCAGTAACTTTCCTTCAAGTCTCGGTACATTTTAGTACCCCCTGGATGCATAGCATATGCCGAAGAATGAGCCTCCTCTAGTATGGACTTTTGGAGCTCCTCACTCTTTGGTATGCATACACGGTCTTTAAACAATAAAAGACCGTCATCACGTACCCGAAAGTTCTCCACGGGCCCTTCAAGGATCCTCTCGCGGATCTTCTGGCATTCTTCATTAGTGACCTGACATCTACTGATCTCACTCAGCAATGTAGGCCTAACCTCGAATCTAGCAATGAGGACCCCACTCGTGGACACCTCCACTTGTGCCCTCAAAGTTCGTAGACATGTGAGTAATGTCCCCGACGTACTTTTCCTGCTCAGTGCATCGGCCACTACATTGGCCTTTCCGGGATGATAGTCGATGATCAAGTCATAGTCCTTGATCAACTCCATCCATCTCCTTTGTCTCATATTCAACTCTTTCTGAGTGAATACGTACTTCAAGCTCTTATGATCGGTAAAAATGTGACATGTCTCCCCATAGAGGTAATGCCTCCAAATCTTTAGTGCAAACACTACCGCCCCCAACTCTAGATCGTGGGTAGGGTAGTTCGCCTCGTGTTTCTTCAATTGCCTAGAAGCATAGGCAATCACTCGACCGTTCTGCATGAGTACACATCCAAGCCCTTGGATGCTAGCATCACTGTATATGTCATACCCTATCCCCTGTGTGGGTAGAGCGAGGACCGGTGCTTCCGTAAGCCGTTTCTTTAGTTCGAGAAAACCTTTCTCACAATTGTCGTCCCATATGAACTTGGCCCCTTTCTTCGTGAGCTTTGTTAATGGAGACGCCAACACAGAGAATTTTTCAACAAACTTACGATAGTATCCCGCTAAGCCAAGGAAACTACGTATCTCTTTCACACTTTTGGGTCTCTCCCAATTCATAATGGCTTCTATCTTGGCTTTATCCACCGAAATGCCCGAACTTGACACGACATGCCCGAGAAACCCAATCTCTTTGAGCCAGAACTCGCATTTAGAGAACTTGGCAAAGAGTTGTTTTTCCCTTAGCCGTTCAAGTACAAGACTCAAATGATCTTCATGCTCCTCTTCACTCTTGGAGTATATCAAAATGTCGTCAATGAATACTATCACAAATTGATCTAAGTATTCACTGAACACACGGTTCATCATGTCCATGAATGCCGTCGGTGCGTTGGTTAAACCAAATGACATTACCAAGAACTCGTAGTGACCATATCTAGTGCGAAATGCACTCTTAGGTATGTCACTCTCCTTTATCTTCAACTGATGATACCCCGACCTTAAATCAATCTTCGAGAATACTGTTGCCCCTCGAAGTTGATCAAACAAGTCATCAATCCTCGGTAAAGGATACCTGTTTTTGATCGTGACCTTGTTCAACTTTCGGTAGTCTATACACATTCTTAGTGTACCATCTTTCTTCTTCACGAAGAGTACGGGTGCTCCCCACGGTGAATGACTGGGTCTAATGAACCCGTTGTCCAATAGCTCTTGGAGTTGAACCTTCAACTCTTGAAGCTCGGCCGGTGCCATTCGATAAGGAGGAATCGAGATGGGTTTGGTTCCCGGCTCCACTTCGATCACGAATTCGATCTCTCTGTCGGGTGGAAGCCCCGGCAAGTCTTTGGGAAAGACATCCGGATATTTGCACACGACACGTACATCGTTGATGTTAACCTCCTTCTTTGCTTCATCCACCACGTAAGCAAGGTATGCGTGGCATCCCTTCTTCATCATCTTCCGTGCCCTCATCACGGATATTATGCAACTATGAGATCCTCCCCGATCTCCCTCGAAACGTAGAGTGTTTCCCTCAGCATCCTCGAGTTCCAAAACCTTGGCATAACAATCCACTCGAGCATGATGTTTCTCGAGCCAATCCATCCCTAGAATTGCATCGAATTCTAACATACTTAGAGGTACGAAGTCACAAGTCAAAGGTTGACCCGTCACTTCTACCTCACACGAAGGATAGTAGTGTTTCCTCTCCACGTCGTCTCCCAACGGTGTAGAGACCAACAAGGGTTGTGTCATTACTATCAACGGCACGTCTAAACTTTCGGCAAACGCTTCACTCACGAATGAACGTTGTGCCCCGGTATCAATGAGAATTCTTGCGTTTCTACCATTGATCTTTAATGTTCCTACATATATAAGTCATGTAAGACACACCACCCAACGTACCGGATCGAAACGGGGCTTAACAAAAACATTTCGGGTGAAAATACACTGGACCGGCGCCGGTTCTAGGCAAGACCGGCGCCGGTTTGCCTTCGGGGTGGCCGAATACGCGTAAGTTAAACTGGACCGGCGCCGGTTATGGCCAAAACCGGCGCCGGTTAATCTTCGGTAACTTCGAAAAAATGTTTTTTTCTTCAAAACCGGCCCCGGTTTCGAGCACGGTGATTTTTCCGACCCCTTTTTCCCTTAGACCGGCGCCGGTTATGGCCAAAACCGGCGCCGGTTTTGCTACGGCGTCTCCCGGAAATCGATTTTAATTGGCTTAAGTATCCCCGACCCTTGGCCGGCGCCGGTTATGGGCCAGAACCGGCGCCGGTTTACCCACGGCAACCCCAAAACGGGCGTTTTTAATTAGAACCGGCGCCGGTTTAAGCCTCGACCGGCGCCGGTTTACCCCTGGGCAGTTTATTTTTGCAACTTTTTGCTAGGAAACCGGCCGGTATTGGCCCCGGCGAGCCCGTACAAACCCGCTATCACTTTTAGCACTCAATACTTGTAATTTATCAATCGTTACAAAGGATTACCTGCAACGGAGTCGGGGTTGGCCCGAGCGTCGGCCTCGGTCATTGCGTAGACTCTAGCTTGAGTTCTTCCTTGGTTCACGGACGGCGCGTTGCTTGTGCTCGCTCCCCCTTGCCCCATACTAGCATGGGGTGCTCCGCTTCGGTTCCTACTTGCCGTGGTAGTGCCGCTTGATCCCACCCCTCGGTTCCCACCAAGTTGAGGGCAATTTGGTTTAATATGCCCCGTGTCTCCACATTGGTAGCACCGAGGAGGGTCACGACACTTACCCCCATGGTTCCTGTTACAATTCCTGCATCTAATCATCATTGGGGCTTGCGAGCCCGAGGTTTGTCCACCCGTGCCTGAGCCTCCCCTAGATGGTGGTGCCGGTGCCCTGAATGATCCTCCTCCCCCATGGTTCCCTTTCTTATTAGAACCTTGGGGGCCATGGCTCTCCCATTTCCTCTTCTTTGCCTCCTCGGCGTCCCTCTTCTTCCTTTCCTCCCATTGCTTTTCTCCCTTCAACCCCTGGGCAACCACTTGGCTGAAAGTCATGTTGGGCAATTGAGTCGCCCTATCACGTATCTCCAAGTCCAAGGCCTCCCAAAAGTGATTCACCATTCGGTTCTCATCACAAGCATACTCCGGTATGTGGTCGGCAAGGTCCCTGAACTTATGCTCAAGTTCTTTCACCGTCATGTTACCCCCTTGGGTCAAAAGAGTGTACTCCCTCACTTTGGCGTTTACCTCAAAGTCGGAGTAGTATTGGGCAAAGAATTCCTGCCGAAAATCCTCCCAAGTAACCGTCCCGCCATACTTACCCTTGGTTCCATCCCACCACTTGGATGCTAACCCTTCAAGTAACCTCACCGCGATTCTCAATTTGAAATCGGGGGTGAGTTGCATGTCAAGGGCTGCCTCGTTCAGCCTCTTGATCCACTGCGCGGCAACTGAGATGTCTCCCGTCCCATCGAACGGTTTACACCCCAAGTCTCTCGCCTCCTTGATGTATTTGGAGATCCTTATGGTTGGACCTCCATCACCACGGCTCCCATGCGCTTCTACATGGGTCCTCGAATCACAGTAGCTCCTCCCTCTTGGAGCCCCGCCCGAAGGTGGCCCTGTACGGCGCCTTCGGCGTTCTCTCCTTTCCTCACGCTCCCGATGATATTGTTGGAGCAGTGCTTCAATCCTAGCCAAGGAGCCATTTTCCTCCTCGTCACTAACATCGTCGTCATCCCCTTCATAAGGGGTCTCAACCGGCTCAGTTTCCGGCCGGTAGGTCGAGTCCTCATAAGACCAATAGGTCTCGCTTTCCGTATCGACGTGGCCATCGCTCACGGTTTGTTGTTGTCGGCCTCCGCGGCCTCTTCCTCTTGATCCCCTAGAGGACCCCCGGCTACCGCGCTCGGACCCACCCGGCACACGGCCCGTCGGGTTCCTCCTAGTGATCCTTCCAACTGGTTCCATTTCTGAAAGAAATTAGAATGAGTCATTAGACTCGTATCAATGTCAAGTGACGGATAGGCACTTAAAGACATCCTTTGACTCAAATCACCGGCATACCAATTGTTAAGGGTACCATCTTAACAATTAGAGACTTTGCAACTCAAGTACCAAAAGTTCTTTAAGTACAAAACTTTTATGCTCATGGTTTTTCAAATTTGTTTTCAAAAAGAGATTTTGAAGCTTCATTATGAAGTTTACGGACTAAGGCTCTGATACCAATTAAATTGTCACGCCCCGGACCTACCCGGACACGTCAACAATCCGCCGTACAGTACGAATGGTCAACCGCAGTCCAACACATCCATACTATACAAGGCGTCTGGAATATCATTCACACGTAGTACATCCATAAACAAACATAATGTAAAATATTCATTCAAGCAGCGGAAAACATTTAATATAAGTGTTTATGCCACACTTTGGCAACCATGGGCATACAAGCCCCCAAACAAATATTTAAAAATAGTATCCATGAGCATTGTTCAAAATGTTTTCGAAACAGGAACGGAAGAAGCACGAACCACGTCTCCCTCCTTTGATCTTCCCGAAGCAACGGGCGGTGGTAGCAACCTTCAAGTTCTACCTGAAACTGTGAGGTGGCCTCCCCCGTGAAGGGGAGGTCAGTACTTGGAAGCATTTGACAAGTACAATGACAACTATACTAAATATAATCAAAGTTTCAATTTCCAAGACCCTCAATCTAGGGTGTTATTGTATCGTGGTTAACTTTATTCGTTTAGTGTCAATTCATCATTTCTTATTACGGTCTAGAGCCCAGCTCAATAATCACCGTTACCTACTACGGTCTAGAGCCCAGCTCAATAATCACCGTCATCTACATCGGTCTAGAGCCCAGCTCAATAATCACCGATAACTACTACGGTCTAGAGCCCAGCTCAATAATCACCGTTATCTACATCGGTCTAGAGCCCAGCTCAATAATCACCGATAACTACTACGGTCTAGAGCCCAGCTCAATAATCACCGTTATCTACATCGGTCTAGAGCCCAGCTCAATAATCACCGATTCTTTACAATTCAATTTCTTAGGATCCATTCATCCATTATTCAACTACAATTCCAACTAATATTTCAATACTAGTTATTTATTCATTTCAATGTAATTCTTCATTCAATATGTAATTTGGCCTCAATATCAAAATATCACTTTTATTCCTTCATGGCTTCTTCTCATGAAATAAAAGTATACTTATCACAAGTGGGATTTATGGTTGATACTACTATCATGTCATCATATTCATAACATTTAGACATACACAATTTATTCAATAAATTTGTATATTATGCAAACTATACTTATAATCAATAGTAATTTCATTTAGGCATTATTAACCATTAATAATCCATGCAAATCACATTATATATCCATTTAGGAAATCTTATGAAATTAACCCAAAGATTATAAGCAATATAGTCGGTCATCCTCACCTTAAGTGAGCTTAAACGTGTTCTACGCTTCGCGGTTGAACTTTGACTAATTCCGGCGAACTTTGACCAACTCCGGTGAACTTTGACCAACTCCGGCGAAGCTCAAAAATACTTTAATCAAGTTCCTAACAAGGTTTTAACATGATAAAACCTTAATCAATACAAATAACCTTTACAAGGTTATTTTCCGGTGAACTTGTCGGTTTGGCTTCTAAGTCCGTTCTTGGACTTAGAACCACTCTCCAACCCATTATTCCACACTCTTAGAATGTAGAACAATCTCAAGGATTCTCCATATGATACATATCTCATATGATGGAAGGAAAAATAGAGAAAAAGTTATGATAAGGTTATTACCTTAATTTTCACACTTTTAACACTTTTAGCTCCTTTTCTTGGGATTCTTTCTTGTTGAGCTCTCTTCAACAATGGAGGAAAGAAAATGGAGGACTCCTTGTTCTTGCTTGGTGTGTGCTGGCCGCAGGTATGAGGGAGAGAGTGGGTGAGGAGTGTTTTTGTCTCTTTGATCAAATGGGTGTGGGTGGGGAGGTCCACCTCATGTACCTTGATGCCTTTTCTTTCAATTCAAAATCCTCCCTCATGTATTTCCACTCCTACCAGCCGGCCAACCCTTCACTTTGGGTGTCTAAAAACGTGGGTTGGCCCCCACACATGTGGGAGGTCAACCCTTTTTGTCCAGAAGTGTACAATCGGTCCCGAAAGTTGTATTTTTTTGGACAGTTTTAAATATATTTTATTTTATCGGGTCAAATAAAATATATTATGTGTTCTTAATCATTATGACCCTTATAATGAATGTACATTTCCCAACTTTAATTTATAAGCCTCCGAAATTCATTTCGGGCTTTTATCCGTTAAATTACCAATACCGGTATTTTGGCCTTTTTGATCAATCGGTCAACCCCATATCATTTCTTTGGACCAAATAAATTGTCCACCACTATATAAATATTATATTGACCAAGATGAGTAAAATATACGGTCTCGGGAATATCGGGCGGCCCCCGCTCCCGGTGTGGGCCCCGCATGCAATTTACTATTCACGCGAATAAGAATAATAAAAATTCACAACTTCGCATACTCATTAATCATTCTACAAGTTCAATACATTATTTACTTAAAAGTAACTACTTTTTGGGGACGGTGTTACATAAATATAATGTATCATAGAGTGATTAACATTATTACATATTATAATAATTAATTAAATCAATGTAAATAGATATTAAAAAGTACACAAATGAATATGAAATTTGTAAATTAAGTGCTCAAATTAATTATACGTCACAGAAAAGAAGTCGATCACAAGCTTTATATAATATGTGCATCATTGCAAGTGTAAGTTAGCACTGTCACTATATTTTATATTGAACTAGTGCTAAGTTTAGGATTTCAAAGTAAAAGTGCACCTATGCAACTAGCAATTTTAAGTGACTATTTTGATTGTATTCATTATTTAAAACAATAGTTAAAATCAATACGCTACTAGTGAAATAGTCCGGAACTTTAGATTTAGATAGTAATGCATTTAATTAATGATCCTATTTACATGGTAACATTGAGTACCGTTTCCTTATTCTTTCCTTGTTATCCGAAGTAATAACACATATTTTTACTCTTTTATCCTTAGTAGTAGAACGGTTGCTACTATTATTATGATTACCATTCAATGTTCAACTTTATTACGGTGCTACCAACACTAATTTATACCGAAATTGTCCTAAATAGGACTAATGAGTTCCTAAAAAGCACAACTAGGACTACTACTTTTAAAATTCCCTAAATAGGACTAAACATTCATTTTCTACCCTAAATACCCCTAAGAGTATTAATTCATAATGAAATGCTTTAATTCATATTAAAATCATAAAAACGTAAAAAATATTTAAAACACGTAAAAAAATTATAAAAAATTTATAAAACATTTATAAAATAAAAAATTTAATTTTTTATTTTTTTAATTTTAAAAAAAAAAATAATAAAAATTAGTAAAAACCCATAAAAAATGAAAAAAATATGGATAGCTTTCCCACCGCCTCCCGCCGCCTCCCGCCGCCTCCCAGCACCACCACCTCCGATTGGTGAAATTTCTTCCACTTTTGGTAAAAAAAATGCCATATTTTTCTGAAAATGCCAAAAAGATGGCATAATTACTCTTCAATATGCCAACATTTTCATTGAATATGTCATCATTATGGCATTATTTAAAATGTTGGCATATTTTTCTGCGGTGATGGGAGCTGGTGGTGCTGGGGTCAGGGGCGGACTTATGTGTTAATCAGGGTAAGCCCAGGCTTCACCTCAATAGTTGTTGCTAGTTTATCTGGTAATACCTTTGGAATGGAAGTGTCTTTTGTGCTTCACGTCAAGTGGTCGAAGCCCCTCATGGCTACACCCTATTTTTTAAATTTTCGAAGTGCTATTATCCTCACCCTTCAAGGTTACGCCTTTTTTTAAATTTTGGTAGTATTATTCGCCCAACGTTTTCAAAGGCAGCTCCCACAATCCCCATATCACAATCCCTCACATCTTGTTTTTAAACATGTGTGTTACGGAGTATTAATTTAAAGAGTTATTAGTCCGTACAACATGTTTTTAAAGATAGACTTATTTCTATTATTATTATTTTAACATGTAGCTATAAATTGTACTTTGTATTCTCTACTACTTCAATAGTTCAATTTGTTATATTGTAATCGAGTGTATCGTAGTTTTACTATTTATTTCCCTTTGGATATAGTTATGTCATTTTTATAACTAAACTTTACATATTTGAAAAATACATTCAAAGTTCTATAATGTGGCAAAGTTCAAATTGAAATATAATATATTAATTAATATTTTATAGGGAAATTGCTCTAAATATGAGTAAAAAAGTTTGTGTATTCTAAAATAAGGCTGCTGTGTTTTTATTCCCTGAATATGAGTAATTACTCATATTTTTGGCAGTACCAATTTTTTTAAACATGACAGTATTTTCCAAGTCTGGCAGTAATTACTCATATTTTTGAAATAAAAACATGACAGTCATATTTTATAATGTGTCGAAGTATTTTAGTCTTATTTCAGGAATTTGTCCTATTCTATATGTGCATACACTGACCTCCGATGCCTAGGTCCGCCACTGGCTGGGGTGGCAGGGGTGGTAATGTTTTTTTTTTTAATTTTACGATTTTTTTTAATTTTTTTTAAAAAATATTTTTATTAATTTTCTATTATTTTTTTTACGATTTTTAGTATTTTTTTCGATTATTATTATTATTTTTTATTTTATTATTAATTAAAACATTTCACAAGTTACAAAGGTATATTTGTCCAATCACACATAAATAGTCCTATTAAGGGAATTTAAAAAATGTAGTCCTATTTGTGCAATTTTGCCACTTTTTAGTCCTCTTTAGGGAATTGACTCTAATTTATATTAAATAATAACCATTGATTTCATGTATTGGATGGTTAGATTTCATTCTCTTTTCTCTCCTGGGAGATTATTCTCACCGGAACCCTCCCCTATATATATATATATATATATATATAGGAAATCTTTCCGGTAAGGTATACCTTACCAGAGCCGCCGTGCGGCCTCCACGTTTTGAGGGCCTTCCCGGTGGAATTTTTCGATGAAATTTTTTGAGCATGTTTGTCATCAAGTCTAGTACATCCATACCAAATTTCAGCAAAAAATTCAATCCGGAAGGCAGCCAAACGATTTTTGGAAGATAACTGTGTTTTATATGTATATAAAGGGTGCAGTTATCTTCCAAAAATCATTTGACTACCTTCCCGATTGAATTTTTTGCTAAAATTTGGTATGAATGTACTAGACTTGATGAAGAACAATCTCAAAAACATTTCATCGAAAAATTCCACCGGGAAGGCCCTCAAAACGTGGAGGCCGCACGGAGACTCCGGTAAGGTATACCTTACCGGAAGAGTTCCCTATATATATATATAAAACATATTATGTATAATAATTTAACTACGTCATTTGAAATTTGGGAAAAAGTCATTTGTATCGTATGTACATTTCTTTGTTTTTAATACTTTAACAAATTTTAGCATCTACTCATTAGTGTTTAATTGGGATGATTGGATGAAAAATCAAACTTGCAACCTTCATTTTGGAATATGTTAATATAGTGTTTGGCAACTTAATGTGCTATACTGCTGTGTGGTATATGTACTACTTATGTAGTGGCCTAGTGAGCCACGCTTTTTCCAAGGATGATATAATTGTTGGATGTAATGGCCCATTGGACCAAGACAACCCGCTTCCCTTATACAATTGTTGGGATGATCTACTCGTTTCCACCCGATTATCAAGCCATGCGTCTAGATCCTTATTTAGGGTTTTGCTCCTTGGTTCGATGTACTTAAGCCACCCTTGTACGCTTGTGGTCGGTTGGATTCTGACATGAGTGTAAAAACCTTAAAGAGAGAGAGTGTGTGTGAGTCTATGAGGGGGAGATAGATAGATAGATAGATAGATAGATAGATAGATAGATAGATAGATAGATAGATAGATAGATAGATAGATAGATAGATAGATAGATAGATAGATAGATAGATAGATAGATAGATAGATAGATAGATAGATAGATAGATAGATAGATAGAGAGAGAGAGACCGATCTTCGGCCTTTCTCGTATCGTCCCTGTATGTGATATTCGGTCATCTCTTCTCCCCCGTAATTCTTGATCCCCCTGTGAGAGTTGAGAATGTTCTCCCGATAACGAGTTGGTGGTGTTACCGTTCATCGATGAATTCTCTTTGCAAGGGTTAAACCAGTGGAGATATTTCACCCGGTCGGGTCTGACTTGACCCGGGACAAAATGACATGCCGAAGATCGCCAGAACATGGAGAATATCTGATTTTGACCGGACCCGGTGGGGTAGGTACCTAACCCGGTCGGGTACCCGGCCCAAGGTGTTGAAAAACACCTATAAATAGCACATTTTTCCCTCACAAATAATCACTCCTTCTTCCATACTCTTGAGCTCAACTTAGAATAGTATTTTTTTATATTTTTATAGCATGTTTAGTCTCCAAATGAGGAGCTAAACTTCCATTTATTGGTGTTGCTCTTGAAGCTTGTTGATTATTAAAGTTGTGAGTTATTTTCTTAACTTCTTCCCTTGAATATTAATTCTCCCCTTAATCTATCTCTATATTAATGTTGGGGAGTATTGCTAAGATGACAATTAGTTAACATCTTGACATTAATTACTACTAGAAACGATCAACGAACCGATGGTTAATCGTTGATGGTTTCATAAGTAAGTAACTTCGGTTTATTAATGCACGGTCGTGGTTAATAAACTTAAGAGAGATTAATTTTGTTGGTTAAACCGAAACCGTTGTGTTGAGGTTATCAATCTCAATTGATTTCATCAAGGAGTTAAGAGATTAAATACTACTATTAAATCGGTATACGACGTTCTATATTTGATTAATAGTAAGGGTTATTAATGAACGGGGTGTTAATAACTACCCTCGATGAATTGGACATACTCCTCGATTGAGTATTCGAGAGGGGATAAGTTATAGATATAACAATGATCAACTAAA